CATTCCAGGGGGCTTCGCTCCACCACTTGACTGTTTGAAGGCCTATATATGTAATAAGAAAATACATAATTATATCAAAAGAATGACATAGAGAATAAAGTTGCAACCAGAATAAGTTTCAGTTTCTCTTTCAACTGTTTCAACCATGCTGGTACTGGCAATTTCTGTTGAATCAGAAGCTAGTAAATATTTTTACTTTTACGTATCTAAAAGCATCATTTATCTTAAGGCTTTAATGTCTCACAAAGTATTAATGTACACAGTCTGCTGGCAAGAGTTAAAGAGCAAATTACGTATCACCCCCCCCCCCTTCCCCTAGTACATGTGTTTTCTTTTCTCATAACGGTAACTGTAGAAAAGCGAGGATTCGATATCCTGACCTGCATACGTGTTCTTGCCAGCTCAATAGGGGAACAAGTTATACATGCCAATGATCGTGCAATAGATCCAGCAATGAGAGGGGCATATGGCCTAAGTTTGGGATAACTGCGATCTGAATATTCCTCAATCCAATTGCGCAACAGGTCATAAGAAGGCAGATATATCCCAACCTGAAAGACATAGCATAAATTTCTAGTGAGATACAAATGTGAAGTACATCAAAATGTATAATTCTAACATCCCATGACCTTGACCCAAATTGAATGCAGATCCAAGAGGGCACAAGAAACACATTAGATCCTAAATCAGTAACAATCTATAGAAAGATTGTGTCACAGATACCAATCCTCAAGCAAGCATTAATATATGCTCACCACAAATTCTGCTCCTACTTGCATTTAAAAATACCTCAGACTGTTAGACAATTATTACTGCTACAGGTGTGATCGAACTCTTTTTGAGAAAACAATGGGCATTCCATCCAACTTACTATTAAAGAGCAAGCATGTGCAAGATCCATACTTTTTCCGTCAAAATAAATTACACCATTGTTACTTCCATTTATAGTTCTCTTATGCTTTACCAAGAGAAATCATGTTGGACTCTACAGGAGGACGGTAAAGTTGTCCTGATTATAAGACCCCTAGAAAATCCTTCAAAATGGTACTTGAAGATACATAATGGGAAGAAAAATATTGTAGAGAAAATTAAATGTAAGGCAACGAAAGCTCCATGTAATATTAATATTAAGGTATGAAATAGGCTAATTAGTACAAACAGACTACTAGCCATGGAGCTGAAAGGATATACCGTTGGTACCGCCAACGCTAAACTTGCACCAGTACCTCTCCATAGTCTAAAAAATCCTTCCTGCAGGAGCTCATAAATCGTTAGTGAAGATGATCAACCCAAAACAGGAAAGCACAATGAAGAAGAATGCTCATAAGTGCATTTACCTGTCTACTGATCTTAGAGAACACATCCATTGTTCCTCTGTACTGAAAGCATTCAGGACTGCAGGATGGCCCTAAACCACTCAACTTCAGTCCACCAGGGTTACACCATGGGTAGCACCTAAAATCTGACCATATCTGAGCAATGCATTTCAGAGAAAAACAAATAAACAAGCAAGCAATACTGTTGTGTAAACAATTAGCAAACACACACACACACACACACACACACACACACACACACACACACACACACACACTTTTTCAGAATTAAAAGGATAAAACCACAAATCACCCTGACAGAAATACATCTGCTTGCCAGTATGTAACTATTATCAGAATTGGGTGCTGCAGATGGTTTATCTGCAAAAAAGTATGTGTGCATAGATATTAAGGTTTTTTTAATGGAGAATAGACTGGGACACACAACCCAAAAGGAAAAAAATGCTCGGATTACGACATACATATAGTTCTCCTTAAAGAACCACAAAAGTATTCTGTTGAGCAGGCTTATACGGCTTAACTCGTGGTATACAGAAGGAGAGCAGCATGTGGTCTATAAATCTTACAATTGACAGATATGGTCTAACTGATGGCTTTGATTCTTCTCTGTTTCTGAGTTAATGTGAACTTTCAAATTCATTTCTGGTTGACCAGAGAAATTGGTAGGAACATTCAATTGTGAAACGGCTCTGTGTGGGACAGAAGTGGGATGCTTACCGGATTGTAGACAACTCCAGCGGCTTGCGCCTGTAGTCTCGTCTGCAAGACAAAAGTAAGGGTTTGAATCAACACATGCGGTCCAAGTCTATATGTGCATTTTGTCACATGTCCCGGCCAATTCGCCTGGCAGCAATACAGCGATCATGCCGACAAACTCTCTACTCTCTCGTTGCAATTAAGTGGCGCAAGTGTTCTGTTGAGCAGGAAAATTGGCCAAGAGCACGCGTTGTACCCCTGTTCACCTAGACTAGAAGAAGCCTGGCGACGGCGCTGGAAAATGGCGGGACCCGCGCCCGCGGAGGACGATTCGTTTTGTTCTCGCGGAAAGAGAGGCTGGGGCGTGGCAATTGGCCAATTGGCACGCTTGTGCGTGGTGCGGCGCATACCTTGGCGACGTCGAGGGGGTTGACGAGGACGGCGGAGACGACGGCGGCGCCGGCCGCCGCGACGGCCCGCTCCGCGAACCCCATGGCGCGCTCGGGAGGCGGCGGCGGCGGGGCGAGCTGCTCCGGGGCTCGCTCCGCGGTGGCCATGGCGAGGGAGGAGAGGGAGAGGAGGAGGCGGCGGACGGATTGATTGTGTGTGTGTGTGTATCGTTGCCGGTAGTTAAGACACGGCTCGTTTTCGAAGCGTACTACTCCCGAGAGAGATGAAGAAGCGACCACCGCTACCGCGCCGTGCCCACGTGGCTCGCTTGCAGCTACGTGTGTGCTTACGCGTGAGCTGCCGACTTGCGTCGTTGTTGCGAGAAGGATGGCGCTCAACTGCATGGACGTCGAGCCTTGTCAAACTTCCTTTTTTTTAACATCATTACAAACACAAGCGCTCATATACACGCGCATATACTCATCCCTATGAATTCACACACGCACACCCTACTTCATGATGAGTAATAGAGTACTCCATCCGTTTTTAGCTAGTCTGTGTATTAGTTTTGATAAAAACAAACTTTACAAATTTTGATAAAATTTATAAACAAAAATACTAACATATACGTACAATAATAAATCAATACCATCAGATTCATTGTTGAATGTACTTTCACGTCATAGACATTTGTTATGGTAAAGTCGAATGTACTTTCACGTAATAGACATTTGTTATGATAAATATTTATATTGTTTTCTATAAACGTTATCAAACTTTAATCAAATCTAATATGCAGTGTAAAATAAAAACGGAGGGAGTATGATTTGTCTATTCGATTCTCATGTGGTGTAATCAAATGTCATTTGGTGTAGTAACATCAACACCTTACGTTCTTTCATATTCCTACCTGTGAATCACATAAAGCCCAGGGACAACATGGCTTTGCTCCACGGCCGGAGCTCAAAGAATATACTTGCCAGACAGACAAAGGTAAGCCAAGACAAGAAACATCAGCATCGACGCAGTCCAAGCTATCTCCATGAACGCACCAAATTGCACATGCCAGTCAGCCCTTGCGATCAGATACTCCCTCCGTCTTAAAAAAAATTTCAAAACGGAGGCAAAAGTTTTACCTCATCGATTAATTAAGAAGAAGAGAATTGCCCAGTTAATTAACGGGAAACCGGGCGAAAACCAATACAAACTGAGCACAAACGAACTACTCACACGACATGAAACCCCACAACCGCACAAACGGTCTGTCACACTCGCCGAATACACAACATCCACAAACCCAGAGGCACCTCCCAACCAGAAATGACAACCCAATCAAGCAGCCAAAGACGTTTTGTCTTTGGCGCCACTCTTGCGATTGCCCACCTTCTTTTGTTTGTCCCTTATTGGCGTCTCTCTTAGGAGGCAAGCAATCGACCTACCTAAACCAGGTCTAGCAACTTCAACACTGGCAAGTCACAAAGTTCCTTCGCGAAGAGAGCATTTGAATTTGGGGTAGGTGCCAACACAAGTGGCTCCGTGGTCATGCCACTCACAGGCATCACCTGCCCGATGGTCACAGACGAGGGAACGACGACAGCATCTAAAACGCCGCTCTCCATGACGTCGAGAGGTAGGCTGTTTGACGCCTGACAAGGCTCCATGGGGGGTGGTGAGGACACCAAGTCCACCTCCGAAGCCTGGGGAGAGTCCAACTTGAGTTGCTCCATCGACAAAGGTGAAACAAGTTCCCCACTCAACATCTGCAGCTCGAGCATGATCTGCAACACCGGAGACACTACCTCGACGGAGGCCACCCCCTCGAAGTCCGGTAACACTTGGGGCGTCGAACTGGACCCAACATGGGGTGAGAAGCCCGAAGCACGAGGGGAGAAGCAGCCATAGAGATCCACATAAACAGGACAAATAAATGACTCAATTTTGTACTACTAACTTCGCTAAACAGGACAAAAATTACCTTCGAAACCATCAAGTTCCCCTTCTATCGACGATTCGGCAGAGAACAACTACAAACATAAATCTGTGAAGAGGTGGCAACTGTTCATGCGACTATTTCAGACACCTGCGATCATGAAACTGGATAGGAACGGCAGCAGCAAATCTAGCGAAAGTACATTCATCCTTGTCTGCTCAAACTGCGTAAAAATTACATATAATC